CTAGGAATGATACTCTGCTGGACCTGGTAATCTCAAATCATGCACAGCTTATTATGAATGTCCATATAAAAGAACATCTGGGTAGCAGTGACCATAACAGGATTTCATTTATTATTAGCAGTAAACGGCAAGCACATACAGGAAAAATAAAAATGCTCAGTTTTAAGAGAGCTAATTTTCCAAGGCTGAGCGCTGCTCTCCAAGACTAAGACTGGGAGGGAATATTGGCGTCAATGAACACAACACAGAGTTCTTCAAAAAGACTGTATGTGAACACACTGCAAAATATATTCCCATGGGCAACAAGTTTAAAAGGCTTAAAATCAAACCTATGTGGCTTACGGCCAAAGTTAAAAAAGCTATAGATAATAAGAAAAGAGCTTTTATTAAATGTAAAAATGAAAGAACGCTATCATTGTTTAAACGTTACAAAGAATATAGCAGAATATGCAAAAAGGAAATAAAGGCCGCAAAAATTGAAAACAAACAACAGATTGCAATAGATAGCAGTACGAACCCACAAAAAAATCCTCAGATATATTAATAGTAAAAAGGTCCGGTCCAAGCATGTAGGCCCTTTACAAAATAATCTAGAGTGGGTGACTGGGGACAAAGAGAAGGCAAATTTATTAAATACCTTCTTCAGCTCTGTGTATACAAAGGAGCATGGGGGAGCTCTTGTCCACAATGGGCATGGTATTGACACAGCTCCAGATGATCCACATTGGCTCACAATTGGTATGATCCAAAAATATTTAGACAGAGTAAAGGTGAACAAAGCACCTGGACTGGATGGCATACACCCAGGGGTCCTTAAGAAGTTGAGTTCTGTCATTTCAAAGCCACTGTTTCTAATTTTTAGGAATTCTTTAATGACTGGCATAGTACCACTGGATTGGCGTAAGGCCAATGTGGTGCCAATATTTAAAAAGGGGTCAAAATTTTTACCAAGTAATTATAGACCTGTTAGTTTAACTTCTATAATTGGGAAGACACTGGACGTGGTATACTTAGATCTTGCAAAAGCGTTTGACACAGATCTCCACACGCGGCTAATGTGTAAGGTAAAGTCTACAGGCTTGGAAAAATGGATAGAAAACTGGCTAAAAGATCGTATTCAGAGAGTAGTGGTTAATGATTCATACTCTGAATGGTCTAGGGTTGTCAGTGGTGTACCCCAAGGTTCAGTGTTGGGACCCTTACTTTTTAATATATTTATAAACGATATAGGGTCTGGGATTATAAATACCATTTCAGTCTTTGCAGATGACACCAAGCTGTCCAGTGGAATAACGTCCTTACAGGATGTCTCCAATTTACAAGCCGACCTCAATGCACTGTTTAATTGGGCAACTATGTGGCAAATGAGTTTTAATGTTGGTAAATGTAAAGTTATACACTTGGGGGCTAAGAATATGCATTCATCATATGTACTAGAAGGGGTACACCTCTGAGAATCAATGGTGGAAAAAGATCTGAGAGTTCTGCTAGATCACAAGCTTAATAATGGCATGCAATGCCAAGCTGCGGTTTCTAAAGCGAGTAAAATCTTCTCTTGTATTAATAGAGGTATAGACTCCAGAGAGAGAGAGATATCATATTAGCCCTGTACAAATCATTAGTAACACCTCATCTAGAATTTGCAGTTCAGTTTTGGGCACCAATTCACAAAAAGAGCATTGGGGAACTGGAGGAAGTACAGAGAAGGGCAACCAAACTGATAAGAGGCATGAAGGAGCAGGGCTCTCCTAACCCTCTTGTATTGAATGTATTGTTGATGTATTGTCTCCCGTTATATTGTAAAGTGCTGAGCAAACTGTTGGCGCTATATAAATCCTGTTGATTATTAATAATAATAATAATAATAAAGAAGCTCAGCTATGAGGAAAGATTAGAGGAACTAAATTTATTCTCTCTTGAGAAGAGGAGATTAAGGGGGGATATGATCAACATGTAAATGTACTTTTTTTTTTAATGGTTGAACTGGATGGACTTTTGTCTTTTTTCTGCCAGACTAACTATGTAACTATGTAATTAATATACTTTAAACTGCAGAGGTGATTAGTACACAAAAGGGGGTAACAAAGTAGTGATTTATATGCTAGGTTTATCAACTAAATTTAATTTTAATTCCAGATCTTATCATTGCTCCTCCGCTGTTTCAAACAATGCAAACATTTTACATAAATGTATCTTCTTCTGTCATATACACAATCCATGTGGTATGATTCCAGGATTATTCAGATCAGAAATAAAATATACTAATTTATGAACAAAGGGATTTTTTTCATGAAACCCATACTAGCATTCCTGAAAGCACTCCACAACCAGCTGTGGACACTAAGCATGCTAAGCATGGCTAAAAAGAAACTTTGCGAAGTACACAGGGCTTACATAACACACCCTGCCCTTCTCCAACACTGCCTCTCATTTTGACACATTTTGTCAGCAATTTTTGACGACCAGTAGCAGGTAAAGCAGCAGCTGCTGTCACAAAATGGCCTTCTAAATAGTATGCATAAAGACTGTTTTTAATTGAAGATAATTATTTAACTATTCTTTTTTTCCTTTGCATCTTATTACATCATAGTCCGACCCTAATTATCCCTATTTAACACCTTCTCCCCCCTTAGCTATTATTTCTGCTGATTATTTTCCATTTATTTCTAATTTTTGACTTTTTTTGTTGTTTTTATTTATTGTGTTGGATATTTTTTTTTGTTTTACACCAAAAGTAAATAAAGCTTTGATTTACTTTGTAATTTACTTTGCATTGCTCTGTATCAGAATTATAATTTTAGTGTAATTTTAAATGGGGCAGATATAATAAGAATTATTTGTTATCTATAGTGACATTTGGCTTAGTACCCTTTTTGTCTGTAGATGGCATATAAAAGATTTAACTTTTTGGAAGCCTTGTTTGTCCTGAAAAAAACATATACTGTATGTATTTTGTTATCTTGAGCAATCACAAAATTATTGCCAAAAATTAGGCACATCGTAGAAATGTAAAAATTGCTCTGGTCGATAACGGGTATTAGAACTGAAGTGTTTTATCAGGCTAGTACTAAGAACCAGAAGGTTTGAAAGTGAAACTGTTGCACTTTTAATCCTCTGTTCATTGTGATGTTAATGATGAGTGACTATTTTCAGGAACAATATTATGGAATTTTATTTTGGGCCCAGCCTTCATTTAGTCCAATTGTCATCCAAGCCCTTAGTCACTGCACAGTGGGCATCCAATGTCTCTGCATATGTTTAGAGAATAGAAACAAACATGTTGCAACATATACAGTATGCTGCCCTGTATCCTAACTCCCAGCATGGTGTTACTAATGATATCCCCTCATTTCCTTTCCTAAAATATATAGGTGGGACATTTCTTTAGCAATCAAACATGCCCGTAATTTTAATAAGAATAGTCATAAAATGCTGTTGTTGATCTAAAATTTCATGTGGTTAATTAAGCACAAAACATTTGATCTTTTACTTTTGTCTGTGGATAGCAAAAATCACAATTAAATAATAATGTACTATATACAGAACCTATATAGTCATTACTGGATACATCATTAGAACTACCAAATATGCCATAAACAGTTTTTTTTCTATATTTACAAATATGCACAAAATGTTTTATCAGGAATGATTGAAGCTGTAGACTTCTACTGCATGACTAAATCTGCAATCTCAGGAGGTGCAAAGGGTTGTAAAATTCCAAAATACAATGTCCCACTGGGATGGGTGATGAAATCCTCGATCTACTTCATGTGTGTGGCTGGAGGAATCTTGTTATTTGAACAAAATAAAAAACTAACAATGTATGGCCAGTGTTAGCTAGCATAAATTTCAGTAACTGCGGATGGTTAAACCAATGCTTTAAGTTTTTCTATTTTTTGGGGGGGTAAATGTTATCTACCTCATCTGCATACATATAATTGTAAATGCAGTGAATAAAGTCTACCTATATTGAACATAATGGTTCTTCTTTTATAGTCACTTAAAATGTCCTAGTTTCAGCTTTTAGGTGTTTGCATATCCAGTATTTTTTATTTTTAGATAAAGGGGAACTTTGATAACTTTATATTTGTCTGCAAAGGAAGGAAGACAGGATGTTCTTGACTGACACTTCTCCTTTTTCTATGCTATTTTACTGGAAAATGTATATGTGATTAATCTACTATATTTTTGTTTTCTTTCACTGACTTTAAAATAAAGGGATATATGGAAAAAGTGGTTAAAATATTACAATGGGACTTTTAATATGACTGTAAAAAGTAATGCATTACACTTTAGCATCTTAAAGTCCAACTCCAATTTAAGAATATTTTTAATAAATAATCCAGGGCCAAAAAAAGCATTTTTTGCTACAATACTCATCCTAACTCTGGCGCTCTCATTGGCAGACTCACCATTCTGCAATCCAGTGCCAATCATTTTTTGGGTACATGACACCTAGTATCACTGAACCCTCTTCCAGTAAATGCAGGACATTCTGAAGCCAACCCCTGTGGGGACATCAGTAGGGCACCCTTGACTTATAGTACAATGATGCAGACATAGGCTTTGATTTTGTCATGTCAGCAACACACTCTACATTATTAAGCACTGCCCAGTACCAGATAAGAGGTAAAGACGGAGAAGACCATGGGGGGGGGGGGGAATGTTGCTAAATCTGGAGTGTGCAAAATCTGGTGCAGCTCTGCCAACCAATCAGCAACTAATCAGCTTCCAGGTTTTATTGTCAAAACTTAATTGAGGTTAGAAGGTGATTGGCTAACATGAACAAATGCACCAGATTCTGACTTCTCCCCCATTTGTGTCACATAACTGCCCATAAATCATTGTAAAAAGTATAATTTTTTTATTTTAACTGTTACTTGAATAGAGTAAAGGACTGATACCAAAAGAGGTTGCCACCCTCCCTTAATACTGCAAACCCTATTTTAGCTTTCCTCTACTAGAGGTTTTGAGAGCAACAAAAAATCATATTGTATAATTAAAAATGACCTTTCAGGCCTTGAAATTTCCACTCGCCTGCTCGCCAATGGCGAGTGAAAATTATGGTGGGGGCGAGTGTGTCCCCCAGGGCTGTCTTGCTGAGCAGGCTCAGAGCTCAGGCCGGATCTGTCATTGGCACTGGGAGCCGTCAGACTGCTCAATAGCTGAGCGCAGTGAAAGCAAAGGTAGGAGTGTGTGCTGTGCTCTCTGCCTCCCCCTAGAGTGCAGTACCCGGCTCTGTGAGTGAACAACGAAGTACTGCAACTTTCTATAGGGCGCTGTGTGTGTGTATATGTGTGTGCCTATCTAATTTCAGCTCACTCTGGTCACATGATCCTCTATGTCAGCCAGTGGTGGCTTCAGGGGAGAGGAGAGAGCACTTAACAGCATGCGTGCATGTGTGTGTGTTTGTGTGTGTCTGTGTATGCATGTACATGTGTCTGTGTGTATGTACATGTATGTGTGTGTGTACATGTGTCTGTGTGCATGTACATGTGTGTGTGTTTGTGTTAGTGTACATACATACATGTGTCTGTGTGTACATGTGTCTGTGTATGTATGTACATGTGTCTGTGCATGTACATGTGTCTGTGTGTATGTACATGTGTCTGTGTGTGTTTATTTCTGTGTATGTACATGTATCTGTGTGTATGTGTGTCTGTACGAGCCTGTGTGTGTATACATGTGTCTGTATATGTGTCTCTGTGCGTGTGTGTACATGTTTCTGTATGTGTATGTGTATGTACATGTCTGTGTGTGTGTACAGGTGTCTCTGTTTGTGTGGGTTTGTTGGTAGCGAGTAACTCTTAAGGCCTGGCAAGTAGCTCAGGACTTAAAATTTTTCAGCCCTGCCTTTATTATACACACATGTTAAAGCACTGCTCAGAAAAAATAAAGGAACACTTTTTAATCAGAGTATAGCATCAAGTCAATTAAACTCCAGGGATATTGATCTGGTCTGACATTTTTTTCCATACTCATCTTTTCTGACGGTTTTTCACTAGTTTTGCATTTGGCTAGGGTCAGTGTCACTACTGGTAGCACCAGGCAATACCTGGACCCTACAGAGGTTGCACAGACAGTCCAACTCATCAAGGATGGCACATCAATACGTGCCATTGCCAGAAGGTTTGCTGTGTCTCACAACACATTCTAAGGGCATGGAGGAGATTCCAGGAGACAGGCAGTTACTCTAGGAGAACTGGACTGGGCCGTAGTAGGTTCATAACTCATCAGCAGTATCTGCTCTTTTATGCAAGGAGGAACAGGATAAGCACTGCCAGAGCCCTACCAAATGACCTCCAGCAGGCTACTGGTGTGAATGTCTCTGACCAAACAATCAGAAGCAAACTTCATAATGGTGGCCTGAGGGCCCGATGTCCTCTAGTGGGCCCTGTGCTCACTGCCCGGCACCATAGAGCTCCATTGGCATTTGTCATTGAACACCAGAATTAGCAGGTCCGCCACTGGCGCTCTGTGCTTTCCACAGATGAGAGCAGGTTCACCCTGAGAACATGTAACAGACGTGAAAGGATCTGGAGAAGCCATGGAGAATGTTATGTTGCCTGTAATATCATTCAGCATGACTGTTTGGTGATGGGTCAGTGATGGTCTGGGGAGGCAAATCCAAGGAGGGACGCACAGAGATCTACAGGCTAGACAATGCCACCCTGACTGCGCCATTAGGTATCAGGATGAAATCCTTGGACCCATTGTGAGACCCTACGCTAGTGTAGTGGGTCCTGGATTCCTCCTGGTGCACGACAATGCCGGCCTCATGTTGCAGTTCAGTGAGGCAATCTGCAGGAATTGTGAGGTGCTGCTGTTTTGAACGTAAGGCTTACACTACTGATTGTGTATTGTTATGCCTTATTGTAAACTGTTACGCTTCAATAAAGGATTTTTCTTAATTAAAAAAAAAGTTTTAAAAACAAAGATTTTATAATATTAGTAATCCAAAAAAGGTATTATAGTTTCACTTCAATTATTAGTAAATGCCGGTTGAATGCGGTGCTCCTCATTGTAATGTTTGCAAGTCTAGATTACATGTGTATATGCGTATTTTGTTTGCAAACATTCTTAACTCATATATTTACAGCCCACTCCATACTGTCAAATTCTATTGCTCATAGAGAGCTTTACTAAACATAGCAGCAGGTATTGAGTAAAATTATTTTACTTTTTTTTTGTTTTAAATAAAGCAAAAGTACTATAATTGCACAATACACTTATTCAGCAAAAATACAGCAAAGCAAGGAAAACTTGCTGCATAGTACAAACCACAGAATATTTAGTATACAAGTATGAAACAAAAGTACATACAGTCAAACATCATTTGGTAAAAAAAAAATACAAGTTTTACAATTCAGAAAGCACCATATACTGCTCTCTTCCTATAACAGCTTGACAACCACAATTAAATGAAACTTGTATAACTGCAAACAATTTTTTTCCCTTTTTTTATAAACGTAGGCTGAACAAATAGAAGAAGATTAAAATATTTGACAGCAATTACTAATGTATATGGAAACAAAGAAAATTGTATTCATAAAGCAAAACACCCCACAGAATTTATTGTCATAGTTAAAAGTACATCTAAATCCCAGACCAAAAATGTAATATATTACAACTTACCAGTCCTTGGATGTGGTGGTTGCATTTGTTTTCTTCTTTTTAAGGCTTATATTATTTTTTTTAATTCTTTATTTTCAGTTTTTACAGTAATTCAGAGAATGCAAGCAAGGTACACAAAGACACGTGCCATTATCTCAGTTCTTACACAATTCAGGCAATTAATCAGATTTATTTTATTTACTTTTGTAGCAGATCGATTTTTTCTCTCACCATACCCAGATGCAAGTGTAGGCCCCTTTAAACTCTTTTCCCACAACTCAGTAGTTTGTTGGATATACCCAGAGAAAATATTTTTCTGTGTGTTTTTCCCTCAGATGCTCAGAGAAGCCACACTTGAAGAGGCAGAGGTAGCTAGGTAAGTGATCTGCATCCAGGAGAGAGGCCCTTCACTGTCAAATCCGGAGTGAGGGAAACTGGGCTGTACAGCACATTATCTAACCATAAAAAAATCATGGCAGTTAACCATGGTCTAGAAGCTTCTTCTACAATAATACTTTCCAGAGAAAAAGTACAAGGGCATTACACTGATGAAGCCTGGCATGATAACAAGGCTGTTCCTAAATCAGCAGCATTTCCATGTCACCCTCCCTCCAGTGGATTCCCAATAGGAATGTAAAATATGCTGGGGTAAGCTAATCAGACAAGTTATTTATCACCTGAGAAATAGCTGAAATGGCTGGACCATGAGAGGGGGAGATCTCTATGTTTAAGTCACAAAAAGTAACACATATTGCCTACATTGCTTAACAGTTCACTTTAATTTCTGCCTCCTCAGATGGTTATACACACCTTCCCTTCACTATCCGACCCTTCATTCACCTGATAAAATGACATGTCTGGTATATCTGGCTATTGAAAACACATGACTCATTCTCCTTTCTTCCATTTGACAGTCATTGACCACCCAGCACAGGGGTCGGGGAGAGAGTTGTCATCTTCTATAAACTCAAGATTACCCTGTGGACCTTCATGGCTTTCTCTCTTGGTACTGCAGGTGAACAGAACTACAGGGGAGTAGGTGGAATGGAAACATAAACAGCTGCAAGGCAGGCATTGACGTGAACCTTGCTTTACCCTGTATGACATTAGATGATGGATATTTTATTATGATTTTACACTAAGCATTTTATTCGATAGACTGTAGTTGGCCAAAGACGTGAGACATTGGGGTTTATTTACTAAAACCGGAGAGTGCAAAATCTGGTGCAATTCTGCATAGAAACCAATCAGCTTTCAGGTCTTATTGTCAAAGCTTAAAGCGGAGTTCCAGCTGAAAACAAAAAAAAAGTCAGTAGTTACAAAAACTGTAGCTGCTGACTTTCAAAATACAGATAATTACCTGACTTTCGGTCCAGCTGTGTCCTCACCATGACTGGTTCACCGGTATCTTCAGTGTGGGCACACAGCTGTGACAGCTTGCTTCTTCACAGCTGGGTGCCCACTGCACGTGCGAGAGAAGCGCTGTGCTTTGTAAATGGCCCCGTAGTCCCAGAAGACTAAGGGGAGAGAGAGGGGAGGACAACTTCCGCTTCCAATCGCCTAAGTGATCGCAATGGAAGTGGGAGCGGGTACCTGTCAAATTCGGGTACCCGCACCCCAAAGGTGACAATCCTTAATGGGGAAAAGGCTTAAAGTGGAACTTCCCCTTTTGGGTGGCGCTCCGCTTTAATTATAACAACACATGCAGCGCTACAAAAGGTTAATATATGTTGTATAAAGGATAATAAGTGATGGGCTACTGGTGCTTAAAAGTGATTGGAAAACGTCCTCATATCATGATACAATAGTCCCAGTAAACAGTGCAAAGGTGGTCGACTCCGTGCTGAAAGGTGTATAATAATATGCACTCACCAGAAAGCGCATAATATGCGCATTTGAGTTGTCAGACCACTCCTGGGCCTAGAAAGCTGAAACAGTGTAGATCATCTGGCAGGCTGTCACTCTGATGGGGATACACACCTTTCCTTAACCAGCAGGGGGATTCCAGACATCCAGAAATACTCTTTTGTTATTCTGAAGAAAGCTGTTTGTTTGTCTGTGTCCATGTGTGACATGGACACAGACAAACAAACAGCTTTCTTCAGAATAACAAAAGAGTATTTCTGGATGTCTGGAATCCCCCTGCTGGTTAAGGAAAGGTGTATCCCCATCAGAGTGACAGCCTGCCAGATGATCTACACTGTTTCAGCTTTCTAGGACCAGGAGTGTGTCTGACAACTCAAATGCGCATATTATGCGCTTTCTGGTGAGTGCATAATATTATACACCTTTCAGCACGGAGTCGACCACCTTTGCACTGTTTACTGGGACTATTGTATCATGATATGAGGACGTTTTCCAATCACTTTTAAGCACCAGTAGCCCATCACTTATTATCCTTTATACAACATATATTAACCTTTTGTAGCGCTGAATGTGTTATTATTTTTAGTGTGAAGGTTTGGGGTTTGTGCCTTTCATGCTAGCTGCTTGTCATCTATCTCCAAGCGCTCGTTAATTATTTTCACTGTTTTGACTGCTCCGCTTTAATTGAACAAGCTGAAGTTAGAAGTTGATTGGCTACCATGCACAGCGGCACCAGATTCTGGGTTCTCCAGTCTTAGTAAATCCCCCCCCCCCCCCCCCCCCACATTTGTGTCACTTGACTGCCCATATATCATTTTAAAAAGTATTTTTTTTATAAAAAAAAATGCACCAATTTTAGTATATATAACCCGTTGTCTGACAGTCTGGCTTTTTTGGAATGCACCAATTTTAGTATATCTACCCCATTGTCTCACAGTCTGGCTTTTATGGAATGCACCAATTTTAGTATATCTACCCCATTGCCTCACAGTCTGGCTTTTTTGGAATGCACCAATTTTAGTATATCTACCCCATTGTCTCACAGTCTGGCTTTTATGGAATGCACCAATTTTAGTATATCTGCCCCATTGTCTCACAGTCTGGCTTTTATGGAATGAAAAAAAATTAGTATATCTACCCCATTGTCTCACAGTATGGC